CTACTTAGTGTTTGGGTTAATCTCCTACCGTCAAACAAGTTTTTTGTATTTTTCTTTCATAAAACTCCAAAAAGCTTGGAAAAAAAATTCATACCATACACACCCATGCATCTTCGTTCCATATAAAAATGATATTGTCAAGGCTCGTCCCAAGATTTTGGAGGCGTTGTACAATTTAACAAAAAATAGGTCATAAAACTTGAAAGATCTAAAATTTTAAACAAAACAATTTGCAAATTACATAAATCAAAAATTTCATACAAAGTAATATAAAAAAAAGAAATTTGTTTCTACTTGAAAATAGTCATCTAATATCCGATAAAATAAACTTTTCAATAAAACTTTCATAGATAACTTTATCTAAAATGTTATTTCTTTCTTGGTTCTAGTTTCTAAACTCAACTAGTAAAGTATATATATATATATATATATATATATATATATATATATATATATATATATATATATATATATATATATTCTAAAAGAACTATAAAAATGGGATTACGTTATGTCATTATTACATTCTCATAAATCAAAAGGTAAAAATCAAATTACAAAATAAATAAATAAATAAATAAAAATAAAATAAAAAAATTCAAAAATTAGAAGTTATATTACATTCTAAGAAAATAAATGTTCTAATTTGCTTTTTATAATAAAAAAATTCTTAAATTACATTCTTAGAAAAGAAATACTTTGATTTGCTTCTCACAAAAAAGTTTTGATAAAAAATTATGAATATATCTTCGTATTTGCGACACCTCAAGAGGATTGTTTTCTTCTGAAAATTTGACTGACTTTGATTTTCAAAACCTCAAAGTTTCTGAATTCGAGAAAGAATGAAAGAAAAAAAAACTTATTTTACTTCTTATAAAGAAATTATGATGAATAAGAATACCTTCTCATTTTTGAATTATGGTTTACTAATTTTTGAAGTAAGCATCAACTTGCTTGTGAAGTTCTGATTTTCAAATTTTGAAGTAACAAGGTTTCCCGATTTGTTTGACATTCACTAATTTTTGAGGATTGATGAAGAAGGGTAGAAAAAAAGTAGTAAGAACTCAATGCTTATGAAGAAGGAAGTAGGAGACCGTTGGTGTCATGAAGTATAGACGATTCACTAGCCGGTAATCAACGAGAATGTAGGAACAAAAGTGATGTTTACTTCTCCTAAAAAATTATGATTTCTACTTTGCGTTGTTTCTGATTCCCGCTCATCATCTTGCATCATTCCTAACCTAATATGATTTGGGCCAAAAAAAAAAATACACAATGCAAACAATAAAATAAAAAATAAAAAAATTGGGTCCTTTTTCATAGACACAATTTGAACTCTCATTAGTTCGACCATAAGTATTGTTTATCTGAACCATAACTACACAATCTATATGTAATACGTAATGATCACTAATTTTCAAATACATCAATGAAATCTTAACTATCACTAACTTTTTCCTTAACTCTGTCAGTTTTCTCTCCGACACCGATTAACCCGTAGGATTCATTGCGTTAAACATCATTTAAAGTCAAACTTAGGGGGTACTAACCGACAGGACATATAAAATTGAAGGGCATTAATGAAAATATACGCCTTTTGACTTTACAGGTCGTGTAGTCAGAGAAGCGGAAGACCGTGTTGGGTACAAATAGCTACTCCACGTCAGATTCCGTCGTCTTCAGTTACAGAGTCGATGATGAAAACCATTACAATGGCGGTGGAGGTCACATAATGCTCACATTGCAACTCCATTGCATTATCTCCTGATTCATCTCTCTCTCAGTCTCTCTCCGCCTCTTTAATCCGAACGATTTCATCAAAGCACCAGTTACGCAGGTATTCGAATTCAAATGTTCTAAATTCTGTTAATTTTAATCTCAACTCTCGTTTTATGCTTCAAAATATGATAAAACCTAGAAATCGATCAACTTCTAGTATGTTTTCATCGCGTTGTTGCATGATCGTCGGAGGTTTGAATTTAGGCGGGAGTTTAAACGTTAAGTTCATCGTAATATTTGTTCTGGTTTGATAGTTTCGTCATTAACGCGTAAAAGTTATCGATTTTCAAGTTCAGGAATAGATTTTTGCTTAAAGTTTTAGTTTATAAGGTTTTGTTTGTGATGAATTGATAGTTTCATCATCAACGTCAACGATTAGAGCTAACAGAGCATACATATTTACATGAAATTGTTCATGATCGTGTTTTTTGATAAAAAATTGAAACCTGTTTTGGTGATTGTGTAAAATTAGCTACAGATGGATAATCTCTATGGTATTAGCGACTCAAAACCTCCTAAACGCGGCAGCATGTCACCTATACAAAACTTTGGGACTCAGAATCCTTACTTCCATTACAAAACTCCTGTGATCGATCAATATCCATCACCAGATAGCCACACTACTTCTTTTAAGACTGTGAACTCCCCATTATTCCGATATCTGCAATCTTCTAGGTCACTTTTGGCAACGCCTTCATCAATTGGGGATCATCAGTCTTCAATTGGATACAAATATCATCGCAACAGTGTTACTCGGGGCTCTGATAAGTCTCCAAGAGTGGATCCACCACATCGGCCAAGGTCACCTTTACTTTTTAGGAACACTGCAGTGAAGGTGGAGGAAGATGTGTTAGTGATGGATGGTGTCGTTGTGAAGAATCCACCAGTTGATAGAGGTAAATCTTCATCATCTTCTTTGCCAGATACTAGTGCCTCATCATCATCATCATCATCATCATCCCCTGTTAGTAACAACTATAAGATGGATCTTTGTGTTTCTTACTTGGAGAAAGCTGGTTACTGCCGTTATGGAACCAAATGCCAGGTCTCTCTCTCTCTCTCTCTCTCTCTCTCTCTCTCTCTCTCTCTCTCTCTCACACACACACACACACACACACACACACTCTGTCCTGGAATTATTAACAAGGAAAACTGATATGTTGAAGGTAATATGATGGGAGTTTTGAATTCCAAAATTGAACTATTTGATGGTTTATATCACTAAACAAAAGTTATAAACAAGATTCAAATCAATCATTCTTGTTAATTGTCATACTGCATATGCAATCTGAATGTAAAATTCTTACAACATCACAAGATTTCATTTGTGACAGTTTGCACATGGAAATAAGGAGCTGAGGGCATCACAATTTCCTTACAAGACCACACTTGAGGTATTAAAGAATCCTACTTTCATTCTTCCTATTACAAATTATAACAAAATAAGTTAAAACTATATTCCTATTTCTATCATATCCTAACATATTTTATCTGTTTTGCATATGTAGACCCCTTGCAAAAACTACAACATCTCAGCAGCAATGTCACCTATGAAAATAGAGAAACTCACCACAAACATTGCAAGCTTTAAAACCACTGATTGGACTCCTTTAGATGATGATATTGAGATTCAAAAAGGAAATGGTGACACCATTTCAAAACAAGACATTGATGCTTACATTAACAAGTTCCTTTATGGTCCTAAAAAATCAAAGAGGCTTCCAGTATTCACTTCAATTTGCCTAGAATAGAGGTAAACACTAAACACTAGATACTAAATACTAAATACTAAATACATATACATGCATACTCTGCTATTCTTTTTTGTGAATGATATACACAAATGAACTGCATGTGTTTACTAAGAAAATTGCTTATGTTGCTTCATTGGTATAGTAAAAACATAATTCGTAAAGTGTATATTGTTTCAAATTTGGAATTAGCTTTTTTTGTGGATAATTCCTTGGGTTGCGTTTGTTATATTTGATGAAGAGGAAGTGGAGGGTATATATGTCTTTTTAACAAAAAGCTTGATTTAACAAAATGTTTTTTTAAGAGTACGATCGTTTAACTTTTAATGTGAACAAAAAACATCAAATCTAAAAGCTACTTCATGCAAAGTTTTTTTAAAAAAAAAAGAAACTATTGAGCTTTTTTAATCCAGAATTATCCTTAAAAATGTATATATATATATATATATATATATATATATATATATATATATATATATATATATATATCCTTTTTAAAGCACTTGTCATTCTATATAATTTTACACATTTCAGAAGCTTCCAACTACTTTTGCTAAATCCTCATATAAAAAATAAAAGCTATAGCTACCGGCTAGTTTTTTTAAAAACGCCCTGCGAGTGGGTCCATATCCCATTTTTTATGTGGAATAAAATTTAGAGTTAATGTCATAAATTGGTAATATAATATTTTTCATGAATATTAAATCAATATAAACACATATATAATCACATAAAGCCTTTCATAATCCGTTGAAACCTAATGACATTGTGAGACAATTCAAGTTTCACCGGTCTTTCCTTTTCGTGCAATCCACATGGTTCTTTGCCACCAAGACCTACCATGGTTATTCAACAAATAATGACTATGCTTCATAGCCATCGAGGCTTACCAAGTCTACCAAGTATTTTCAACGAGGGTTCTTAGTCACCAAGACTTACCAAGACCCTAATAAAGGTATGGTCAAAGTTCTTAGCCACCAAGGCTTACTGAGACCCTAATAAACATTGTTCTTAGCCATCAAGGCTTACCATGACATCCATGATTCATACCTATCATGGTTCGCAGGATCACCCATCCTAAAATTGCTCTTGTCTGGGCACGTTAACTGCAGACTGCTTATGAGATTTGATGCTCTCACTGCTTTAAAACACATTGTGATAGGTAGGTATCCACACCCACGTTATAAGGAAATATCTTTTTACATTAAACAAATAAATCGGTATTAGCCTAACCAAATATGATGAATTTTTTAAAAAGTAAACATCATTGCATCATTTTTTTAATTTTTAAAAACTTAGACTGAAAATTGATACAAGAGTCAACCAAATGGCCAAAAGTAGAATTTATAGAATGAATTATTTTCTATCCAAAATGAACTCAAATGTATACATGCTAAAAACAGAAACCATAACTGGATTAGCCTCTTCAACAAAACCAGAGCATACGTGCCACCCAATCAAGATGACAGAATGACAATCGCCACTCTTTCTTTTACTTCCTCCTTCACTCCTCACCACACCTTCCACCACCGTCGCCGTCGTCACCACCTACTCAAACCCACCACCAAAATATCTTCACAGGTTTCCCTAACATCTCCCCCATCAATAACTCTTCAACCAACCCTCAAAAAGACCGGAGTTATCGTCGTCGGCGCTGGTCTAGCCGGCTTAGCCGCCGCCATACGCCTCCACTCCGACAACATTCCTTTCCTCCTCGTCGAAGCATCTGATGGCGTCGGAGGTCGTGTACGTACTGACAACGTCGACGGTTTCCTCCTCGACCGTGGCTTCCAAATCTTCATCACCGGTTACCCGGAAGCCCGAAGAATACTCGACTACGAAGCCCTAGATCTTCAAAAATTCTACTCCGGAGCTAAGGTTTACTACGGCGGTGGCTTCCATACAGTAGCTGATCCGTTACGCCACCTAGGTGATGCTATCCAATCTCTAACAAACCCGATCGGAACAATCGTTGATAAATCTCTCATCGCATTGACTAGAATTAGGGTTTTGACTCAATCCGATGATCAGATATTCTCTGCTGAAGAGACCTCCACTATCAATTTGCTCAAACGAATTGGGTTTTCCGATTCCATTGTGGATAGATTTTTCCGACCATTTTTCGGTGGGATTTTCTTCGACAGAGACCTCGAAACGACTTCCCGGCTCTTCGATTTCATCTTCAAGTGTTTAGCTCTCGGCGACAACACTCTCCCGGCGAAAGGAATTTCCGCAATTCCCGAACAATTAGCTTCAAAATTACCCTCCAATTCCATCATCCTAAACACACCAGTAGATTCCATCGATTCAGAATCAGAATCAAGTCACACTGTTAGATTGAACAATGGCGATACCTTGAAGGCTGAATACGGGGTCATCATTGCAGTCGAAGAACCCGAAGCCGTTAAGCTTCTCGCCGGAAAATCGAACGACATCCCAGTTCAAATCAAGCCACCACGAAGCACCGTGTGTCTGTATTTCTCAGCCGATCGAACCCAAGTTCCAGTCCCCGACCCAGTTCTGTTCATCAACGGGTCCGGCAATGGCATCGTCAACAACATGTTTTTCGCCACCAATGTGGCTCCTTCATACGGCCCACCGGGGAAAGTTCTGGTGTCGGTTTCCCTTATCGGATTGTATGAAGATGTTTCCGATGAGGACCTGAAAATGAAGGTGGTGGAGGAGCTTAGTGGGTGGTTCGGGAAGGAAGTTGCAGTAGGGTCATGGACGTATCTCAGAAGTTATCGTGTTAAATTCGCACAACCAAATCAATGCCCTCCGACGGATTTACAGAAGAACCCTAAGCTAGGGTTAGGGTTGTATGTGTGTGGGGATTATCGGACTAGTGCGACGTTTGATGGCGCTCTGGTATCCGGGAGGAAGGCGGCTGAGGCTTTACTGAAAGATCGATCTTTGGTTCAAGCTTCATAAGCTTGAAAGAATGATAAAAGAGAATACATTTGTAAATTGAGGTTCATCACTCATGTATTTTACATATTTTCAATCTAATATGTTTTATAACATGATTATAGTATATACTTTAAGATCTACTAATTGTAACACTGAAAATACATTTGTATATGAATGATAAAATAAAGGAGTAAGGGTTTTAAATCTACCTAATCGAAGTAGTATGGGTGGTGTCAAAAGTAATTTTTTTTTAACAATCACATATTTCTTATGGCTTATGCTTCCCAAATTTAATGTTGGTGGTAATAGTGAGGATGATAACAATAAGAATAGTTGTCATGAGATGTTACACTAGACATGGATTTAACATGGAGTATGAACTCACTAAAAATGTAAATTTGTAGGGTTGACCGGGATATTTTGAAGGATCTGTTCAATTTAACAAAAAATAGTCTCTACAACTTGTAAGATCTAAAAATTTAAGAAAAAAGAAATATAAATTTTCATTTCTATTGCAAAATACATAAAAGTAAAATTTCATTCAAAATAATATACAATTTTTTTTTTGCTTATACTTGAAAATATTTATCATCATAATATTCATTAAAATAAACTTTTTAATAACATCTTCATCATCAGTAACTTTATCCAAAGTGGTGTGCTTGTACATCATCAAAGTCAATCCAATAAGTTGTTCTTTGGTCAATATAGATCGTAAGTATGGCTTCAAAATAGTCAAATTGGAAAAAACCCGTTCTGCAATGCTACAAAAATATGATTTATTTCAAATAAGCAATATATATATATATATATATATATATATATATATATATATATATATATATATATATATATATATATTTCATTATCAAAAAAAAGGAACAATGATATAATTCTAATAAAAAATATCCAGAAATCAGAAAATTACTTTCTGATTTTCGACAATTCAAATCAACAAGAAAGGGTATAAAAATGTAAAAAAAATCAGAAATCAATCAGCAAGACATATTTCATAATCACGAAAAAAAGAACATTGATATGCTTCTAATAAAAGAATTCCAGAAATCAGAACATTAGTACATTGCCTTTGGATTTTCTTATTTTCAACACTTCAAAAAGAAAAATCCGAAATAAAAAAAAAAACACTGATTTACTTCTTAAAAATCAGAAATCGTATCATTTATCAGAAACCAAAAAAAAAAAACAGAATTAAATATACTTGTACCTTATAAACTCAGAAATTGATTTCCTCAATTCCTTGTTCTTCTGATTTTCGAAACTAATTTCCTTATTCCTCCAATTTTGGAAACTGTTTAGAGAATAATTGAAGAAAAAAGAAGTGAAGAAAGATTGTACTTTAACTTATTAGAGAAGCAAGAAGAAGTGAAGAACGATTTTGGAATCTGATTTTCGAAATTGGTTGCAGCCTTCAAATTTTCGAGAAAAAGAAGAGAGAAATAACTAGTAAGATTGATGATAAGTTGGTTGGAGGGAGATTTAATCCATGCCCCATGCGTTATCAACGAAGATGAAGGAATCGAGGCGTTTTTGCTTTTCACGAAAATTCTGATTTTCCCGCTCCCTCGCCTGTTGCGTCGCTTGATACTTAGAAAACAAACCTAATTTGTTTTCCGGCAGCTGTACATAGTAGACTATAATTTCTTAAAATAAATTAGGTCGTACGATTTTTTGGGCCCTGTTCATGGGCACCTCTGAACTCCCCATGGGCCGGCCCTGAATATTTCTTAGTATCTTATGTGACCACACGAAGTTGGCTACTTCATGCAGTGGTAATCCTAGGTAAGAGGAAAAACTAGATGGTCAACAAATTTTAGAACTTGATGTAATTGACATGGGTCATACCAAGAAGCTAATATTGTATTTTCATATACCATTGCGCATATTCTTAACCTATTTTTCTCATCATAATCTCCAAGACAAGACAAAATGAGCTAGTCGTTAGAATTTAAAAAACTTTCTTGAATAATTTCATTATCAGGTTTTCTTATATTTATTATATAGAGTCCTAAATTTTTGGCATAGTGTATGATTTAGTCCTAAATTATTATTTAAAAAAAAACAGAATACTGACTATTGTAATCAGTTTAACCCTTTTTAAAAATCATTTTTTATGGGAGAAATATAACACCTGGATCCTGGTATGCGAATTGTCTCTTGATCTTCTTTAAGTCAATTGTGATTTGGGGTTTTTGAAGTGTCGCGACGCGACTACTTAATGGTCGCAGTGTGTGTCACATCATTAAGTAGCAATGCGACCTTATGTGATGTTTAGGGTTTGCTTTTTTCTCAACCTCCATTCTCTCATATGCAACCCCTAGCCTTGTGTGTATTGGTGATCCATTGCGTGAGTTTTTTTTGGAGTTCTTATTGAAGAACTAGACCCTTGGTGCCTGGAGCTGAGAGCCTAGATACCTAAGGTTGATGGTGGATCAACACCGGAGCCGAGAGTCGTTGATCGGGTGGATCGACACTGGAGCTGGGAGTCATGTTTGTATACATTGTATGTGTATTGTGGAATGAGGTATTTGGGGGTAACTCACTATGATTTATGCTTATAGTTGTTGATTTAATGTTTTTCAAGGATGTTCCTCTAATCAGGGGAAAACGCTAGCATGACTGTACACCACGCACATTGCTAATGATTTATTATAGACTTTCACTCCTATGATGATTTGATACATTTTGATACTATGGCATGATGATGTTTTGAAATAATTTATTACTTTAAACTTTTTATGAAAACATTTGGAATGCTTTATGTAACGCCCGTGTTTCTAGGCTAGGCATTAATATTGACACAATGGTCTAGGTTAACCTTTGTAACTCATTTAGAAGAAATGAAAAAGAATTATGTGAATATTATATGTTTTATGTGTTTTCTGCTTAATTACTAGGAGTTAATTAATTAAGAATAAAAAATGAGCGTCAAAAATTAAATTTTAGATAAAGCCGATATCTATTAAGAAACTTGTAGTGGGCGTGACAAGGATTACGGATATATAAAGAATGTCGAAATCCGAGTTATAACGAAGAAGTTATGACCTGTCGAAGTTTCACGATAAACCGGTTCAGTGCTGAATGTCGTAAAAAGTGAGTTTTCGATAAACTACTTTTTAGCCTTAGTAATCTAAACGAAACTCGTAGTGCTCGTTAAACCGAGAGTATGTATAAAAAGAACGCCCAAATCTGACTTCGTATGAGGAAGTTATGATTTTTTGAAGTTTCAGCTTAGCAGTAGACAGCTAAAAACTCGAATTTTAGATCGAGTGATTTTTAGCCAACACGACCTAAACGAGAATCGAAGGTCTCGTCATTAGTAGCACAACGGTAAAAAGTCTGACGAAAACGGACGTCGGATGAAGAAGTTATGAATTTTTAACAGATTTCCTGTCCCGGTCTGTTAAAAATAATAATATAAAAATTAAAGTCAAAATTAGCCGACGAAGTCTAAACGAAAGTTGTAGAGCGTAATTTTACCTACGCGTGCATATAAAGAACGTCAAAAACGGAGCTCGTATGCGAAAGTTATGGATTTTAGAAGTTTTGGCGCGAAAACCGAGAAATTTCGTATACTCACGTTTTTGCCACGTCACCGTCGCCCAAAATGTGCCACGTGTCCGAAATGGTCGAGTCATCCGAGCAGCTGGCAGTCGCGTGTCACTTCCGGATTCAACCGAAGTCTCGGCCCTCGCACATCCGACGCGTGTACAGTGACACATCGCATCCGAAGCCTTCGCATGAGCCACGAGCCACCCACCTAGGATCCGAAGTTCGGTCCAATCAGAGCCCTCCAGCGAGGCCCTCGCATGCGCAACCCACGTGCGAGCAGGTACTGCCTCCTTCGGATCTGCTGCCGCGTGGCTTCTCTCCTGGCCGTCCGATCAGCAGCTCGCATGCTATAAATAAGAGGGTGCGAACCCTCCCGGCTAGAATTTAGAAATTGGCAATTTTTGGCCCATTTTTCAATATTTTGGCTATTTTCACGTTCCCCGAAGCCCCGGTATCGATTATAACCCCCGGAATACGCCCCGAAGTGCCTGAAGACCGGGAAAATTTATTTTTTCGGTTTTGAAGCCCGACCTTTCGCAGAGCCCGGTTTCTCAATAAAACTTCCGGTTTTATTAGAAACGATCGTTTTAGGAAACGAATTGCTGCCCGATTTTCATTAAATCAGGTGAGTGTGTAGTTACTTTCACCTTACACATGGATATGAAGTATTTTACATAAAATACATGCTGTGTGAATATTTATTGTTTGTTTATTTGAGTTGGATGTTGAAGGTGTGATTTATACATGTTTTTAAATAATTTAAACTGTATATGTATTTTTATCTACAAAAATGTTGGGTAAAACATGGGTAGATGAAATAATGGGTGTGTGATGAAAGGTGAGTTGGATAAAGGAGATGATCAGTAATATTGATCATGAGTGAGGGTGAGTGGTGAAATTTGAGAGAATCACTTACCCAAAATGTTGGCCCCCGTCATTCAGCAGAGTAGGGATGACAACCATGGACTATTCTAGATGGTCTGTGGAACACTAGCAGGCCTGAAACCTGTAGGTGTAATGAACAATATGTTCATTTGGAGTACTCTAAAAACCCATTGACATGTATGACAGGGGTGAATACTGTCAATAATACTGTCAATAAATAAGAGCTATGAATTTAGCCCCTGTTGTATAAACCCTGGTGATGGTGTGACCTTGTGTCTATTCCTTAGGATGAATCCTTAGGAAGGAGTGATAGTTGATTCTTAGGGTAAACCCTTAAGAAATAAATAAGATAATGGGGTTGGGGTAATTTGGTTGATTGATTAATGTTTAAGTACAATAAATTTATTTATTGTGGGTTGAAAACCCTATATGCTCACCAGGCTTCCAAGCCTGACCCACTCAGCTTTTTATGATTACAGGTAGTGGACCCCGAGCATAGTCGGATAATGATGATGAGTGATTTATGGATTATAGGCCAGTAGTTATAAATAACTGTTGTAAGACTT